CCCCCCCCCCCCCCCGAGTGGGCCAGTCGATGCAGCCTCATATTCTCTCATTCATCTCCGCAGCTTATAAGCCCGACATGATTTATGCAGTCCCTCTCACCTCATTATCACCCTCTTCCTCCTTTTCTGCCCTTGAACCTCTTTTATTCCACTCTGTCCGTCCTATCTTTATCGCTTTTTTTACTCTCCACCTCCCCCACTTTTGCTCCTTGCCTCACCCTTTGGGTCTCATTTTTCAATCTAATCCTCTCTCCTTCGTAGTCCCCCCCTGCACACACACTCACACACATTTTGTCTCTGCAGAGCTCTCTTTCCAACGGCGATAAGGGTCGTTCATCAGACTACCTCAGCAACGGCAAAAAGAGGAAAGCAGACGAGAAGGAGTTCATGACCGACTACGTGAGAATGATTTCACAACTTTTAAATGTTTGAGGAACTGTAGGAAAGTTTCACCCTACTTTGACAGTTTTTATAAAAAAAAAAAAGAAAAAGAAAAGAACAGCAAGGAGGGGCGCTGAGATATTTACATTCGACCTGTCTTCACTGTTTGGTTGCAGTGACTGAGAAAGATCAGATGAATTGACGTTTGTAGATTCTTATTTTTTGTTAAATCTTTGATATGCATTTAAGACTTAGACACCATATAAAAAATACAAACCGGCACCTGGAAGGGCTGCACCTTCCCAAGTTAAGCAATTTGAAATTCACCGCGTGTCAGGTTCTGTCGTTTGTGTGCGTGCAATCTGCTTACAGCAGAGAGCAGAACACCAACATCTCTTTTTACCTCCTCTCTTTTCTCTCACAGGGCAGTGATGTGGATAAGAGCGATGATAATTTGGTGGTGGATGAGGTTAGTAGGCGGCTGCTTCCCTCCCGTTTGCCTCACTTGACCGCTTTCATCAGCTTGGATGGTGTAAACATACCCAGCAGAATCGTATGAATAACAATAATCCCCTGCCACCCTCCTCCGTCTCCACCTGGCCTCATTTAGCTGCACACGCACAAGTACACAATCTCAACTGCACGCAAGTTAAAAAATAGATTTTTTTTTTCTAAAACAAAAGGCTCAAAGAAGCGTCACTAATCTATTCACATATTTGCCTTTAATTGTTTTCATACGTCTGGTTTGTATGGAAATGGACACAGAAAGTGTAAAGAACAAAAAAAAGAATTGTGCAAATCTGATCCAGATCACACACAAATGTGCCTTTGCTGCAGCGCAAATTATCATCCAAGTGAACAAGTGAAAAGCAGAGTGTTGTCGGGAACAGTGGGTGAGTTGAAGCTGGAGGAAACTGTCCACGGTGCTTTGAAAACAATATTGACTCAGCAGCAGAGCTGACAGCTGGGTCACCGACACTCGTCCAGTACTTTTCAACTGGAAAGTACTGGACTTCTTAGTTTAGGTAAAAACGTACGAGCTGAGATCCTTTCACCGGGTATCTGGACTTGGAGGGTCTGAACTCTGTGGGTGCTCCACTCTTGTAATCTGATGGTGATGTGAACACACACATCTGGTCTGATCGAGCAAATAAAAGCTGAAAAACTCCCCTGAGTAACAAATCTGATTTAGCTGCCATTCAAACAAAACCACTGAATGAGATGTCTATTGACGTTCCCGTCCTCCATTCCTTTTTATGTTTTTACTGAACCTACGGCTGCTTCAAAATATGACAACATTAGAAGTTTGAGGCTTTAGGAAGTGGAGGGAGAGAAATCAAGTTGGTGGCTTAACGCTTGTCTTTGTGTCCAGTGTCTTCTTTGGATTGCTCGAGTGTTTTTAGCTTCAATAAAAGAACTGAAATGTAAATAACTAGAGAAGATGCATTTCCTGTGAAAATGCAGTGTGGAAAACAGCTGAAATTATCTAAAGGAAAAAAAACATGCTGAAATGGAAGAACAAGCCTAAGTTAGCAGTATAAAGCAGAACACATATTTACTGAATTACTGAAGTACCATAGGTTTAAATCAGCAGAAATTAGCACAAAAAATAGTAAATTTGCTTATATATATATATATATATATATATATATATATATATATATATATATGAAATTAGCAAAAACAACACAAAAAGCTGAAAAGTACATAAAAAAGCAGAAAGAAGCTTAAATTACCTGAAAGAAGTTGAGAGAGCACTTTTTTTGCCCAATTAGACTGAAAGAAGCCAAAATTTGGACAAAATAGTGGAAATTATCTGAAAATATCTGAAATTTCAAACAAACAAAAAAAATCTGTTGAAAAATAGCTAAAAATCCAGAAAGAAGCTTAAATTACCAAAATGAAGTGGAGAGAGCACATTTTTGCTGAATTAGGCTGAACTTTTTTTTAAAGAAGTGCAAAAAATGTGGAACTGGTTTAAAAAGCTTAAATAGTAGCTGAAATAGCAGAAATAGTTGAAACTTGCAGAAATAATTATATTCTGTTGTTATTGTTATCTAATTCTATTGTTGTTGTTGTCGTTGTCCACTGTTGTCAGCAGTCTGTTAAAAATGCAGGTCTCTCTTGTAAATAAGTCCCTGAGGCTCAATGGGATTAACCTGTTTAAATAAAGCTTGAATGAATCAATGAAAATGAATGGGGGGAAGAAAAAAAAAGCTGAAAGGAGCATTACACGCTGAAATTAGCAGGAGGAGGTTAGAAGAAGCACATAAATGTTGTAGTTAGCAGAAAAAAGCCGAAGGACGCTCAAAACAGCTGAAAAAACATTTGAAATTAGCTGAAAAAAGTTAAAATTTGCACAAGGAAGCTGAACCAGAACAAAATGTGAAAGGAGCAGTAAAAGGTTGTAAACAGAGCTGAAGGATGTAAAATGAGCTCAAGGAAAAAAAATAGCAGAAAAGGCTAAATATTTCAAAAAGCTAAAGTTGCACCAATACTAAAAGTCATAGCACTCTTCTCCTGAACGAGCTGAACATTTTGATATGATATGTTGAAATGGCACAAAAATTGTGGAACGAGAGCGTTGCTGAAAAACGAACAGAAGTATAGAGCCCGGAATAACAATAAATATAAACAGGATCACAATAGTGAGAATGCTTATAGCTTGTTTTTTTTAATTTGCTCTCTCAGACCTTTAACTGCACTAAAACAGGATCTCAGTCAGTATTACTGAGAACTCATGTTCTGTGTGTGAACTGTAAGGAGTTACACACGACAGCTGTTTAAATATGATTGAACATGAGGTCGTGTTTATTCTGATCTTGTTTATTAAACTTTTGTTTGTTTGTTCAGGACCCGTCCTCCCCCCGCAGCGTGCAGTCCTACTCGTCACGGGAAAATGGTTTAGACAAGATGCCCCTGTCTCGTAAGGAGGGCCCCCCCCAGGCCAGCCCCACCTCTCTTGCTTCATCCAGCAGCGCTACCTCCCCCTCACGTGGCAAAGAGCCCCCACAGGTAGATGGAAGTGTGCACTGGTCACGTGGGCGTGTTTCATCTGTCACAGCACTTGTCTTATTTGTTCACTGTTTTTGTTCAGAGAGAAAAGTCCAGCACCCCAGGTATGAAGCCAGGGACCCCCATGTCTCAAGAGTCCAACACCCCTGGACCAAGTGGGCCCCCACAGTTTAGACCTGTTCCGGGCAAGCCTGGCGTAGACCCCCTCGGTAAACACACCCATGAGCAGGAGGTTCTGCATCGCTGCACCACCTCACACGCAAACCATTGATAAAATGGGATTTTTTTTGCAGAGTGGGATTTTTATCCTGTTCTTGCATTGTTAGCAAAATGTTTTGCAGTTTGTATGAGTATCTGCCAGCTCCCCACCACTGACCACCATCTGGACTTAATAAGCAGCTGTGGGCACAGATATTCATGGTGTCCCATGTTTTAAATGAAAGGATTAGCAGAGGTGATGGACTGTGACTGGGGGCTGTTTGGTAATGAGCCTCTATCTATTCCACAGTATCTCTTTCGCACACACACACATTTCACACACTGTTATGCATGACACACACGTGATGCATGTACATGTGTGCACAGAGGAAGGATGTTCCTGTGAACACAGATCTACATGTGCTGTCTCGCTGCAGGATGGTACGGTGGCCAGCAGGGGTCAGTAGTGGTCCAGTGCTGCAGATATTGTACTCGTCTTTTTGTTGCCTCTTGTTCACAGCTTGTCAGTCACAGCTGTATGAAAGGCTCCACAGAAGGAGCCACACTAATAGATTGTGTATCTTATTTCATCCCACGCTAAGATTACTAATAAAGCTCTTGAATGATTGACACACTTTATTATTTGCCTCAATCTGTAATTTGTCCAAAACAAATGAACATTCTTGTCTTTTTTCATTTCCTCCCACCTCGAGCTCTCGGCCTGAGAAACCCCTTGGCCGTGCAGGGGGCGTACCCTCCAGGAGCTTTTGGCCTGCCTCCCCCAGGAGTGAATGGCGACCTGCCGGGGACGGCGGGCTACGGAGCCGGCCTCCACTTGGTCTCCCCCCAGATGAACGGAGCAGCGGCGGCGGCAGCTGCAGCTGCTGCAGGCTATGGCCGGTCCCCTGTGGTGAGCCTGGTCCTCTGCAGATTCTTTATCTTTGCTGTGTCACCATTTATGCAACGTCTCAGCATCTAAACGTGTCAGAGGGCAAAACTAAAAATAAAGAAGCAAGTGCTTTGTTGTTATTATTATTATTATAAAAGTATCCATTTTTCTTTTATCTTGCTTCTTGGAAGCTCTTTGGGATTTTGTATGACCTTGTTTAGCTCAGATTTTTATTTTTAATTTTACCTATTTTTATGAGTTTACGTTCTTTCCTTATGACAGTATTTTTCCTGCGGCTTATTTTAAATCATCTCTGTCTGTTCCAGGTGGGCTATGAGTCTCCACACCCCCATATGAGGGTCCCTGGGCTTCCTGCCAGCCTGCAGTCGGCTTCAGGAAAACCGTGAGTGTTTGTTTTCCCTCCTTGGCTCGACTCCTCTCTTGCTCACCCTTTTTGTCCTGCCATGAAGTCCCTGTCGTTTATCAAACTCAAATATGTCCCAAATTACAGGAGGAGTCATTGATATTTTTAATTGTTTTGCAGGAAATGACAGACATTAAAATGTCATTAAGAAAACTCATAAACAGCATTTTTTTATTGTCTAGAAGCTGTCTTATTATAACAGAAACAAATAAGATTTGTTTAAGGGAGGAGACTGAAATCTAAATATCTGCTTTCTCCTCAGACCTGCCAGACGAGGTTTAAATTCATTTGAATTAATTTAATACATTTATATTAATTTACATTTACATCAAACAGTCGTATTTAGTGATTTGATTCATGTAGCATCCTTTAAGTAAAAATTTCCGAACAACTTCAACAGACTCAAATAATTTACTATTACTTGCTAATTAAATACACATCCATAGGAAATGTTGGTTTTGTTTTGTGATTTTGTCTTAACGTTCTGTTTATGGGTAGTGTGCTGTTTTAATGCTTAAGTCCCAAAAACAGGTTCAAGACTTGAAGAGGTGCATTTTTTTATAATGGCATGAAAAAGGACACTGGTGGTAGTTTTAGATAGGAGGTGATGGCATTTGTTTTTATTTAAAGAGAGTTTCTTAAAGAAACAGTATGTTTTCTTAAAGCTATAAAAATGTACAGTTTTTCAATGTTTTTGTTTAGAATGCATGTGCTTCACCCAGGTACAATAAAAAAAAAAAATCCACTAAATACACATCATTCACTACAAAAGAAGCTGCAGCCTTAACTTCTAATAAGTGAAAGCAGCAGAGTCGTTTTGTTGCCAACATATACGAATCGTTTGTTTACGTTCTTACGTTGTCAAGTAAACAAAACCATCCTCAAATAAAAACGATATCAGAGGAGAAAAATGGAATCAAATGACAGGTTGAAGGCAAAAAGGTTAAGTTCTCTCTTCTGGAAACTCAAAACAAAAGAGCGACTAAAAGCTGTAATGATGAGAGTAGACAAGTAGTCTTTAATCGAGGGGTGGAGAACATTAAAGGAAAAGTTAAGATCATAAGCTGCTGAAATGTACCGAGATATTCCAAACTCTTAATGAAGATCAGGAATATTTGTTTTCTATTGCAATTTTTATGAAAATCCTAACAAGTTTGAGTTATGTTAACACCCAGACAATCAATTAATGATATTAACAGATGAAATTGTTTTAGAAGCATCGAAATTTCTATCAAACAGAAAGAATGGAATAGATATTTCCCTAGAACGGGTTATTTTAAGTCAAAAGGTGAAATCTTTCTCACCGTTTGCTCCTGTTCTAGCACGAGGCTGAATGTAACCGCTTTGCACCTGAGCTTCTTGTTTTTTATATATATATTTTAAAACTTTTATAAAAGGTAAAGGTTGTCACCAGTCACCTGACAGCTGCCGCAACTCTCCCTTCTGTCTCCGTCTCAGCGCCTACTCGTTCCATGTGAGCGCAGACGGTCAGATGCAGCCGGTGCCGTTTCCCCCCGACGCCTTGCTCGGTCCGGGGATCCCGCGTCACGCCCGTCAGATCCACACGCTGAGCCACGGAGAGGTGGTGTGCGCCGTCACCATCAGCACCTCGACGCGCCACGTTTACACCGGAGGCAAGGGCTGTGTCAAGGTGTGGGACATCAGCCAGCCAGGAAGCAAGAGTCCTATGGCCCAACTGGACTGTCTGGTGAGACGTGAAGAGGAGGGAGGCTGTTCATATTTATATTTATAAATGTTTAACTTTAAAGTCAACTTTTGTACTTTATATGCAGTTGTGGGCACTGTTCCGCTAATCCACTAATAGCTAAACTAATTTTCCATGTAGCGAATTAGCCTTTTTGCTAACTTTATAAACATTTAGTGTAATTAGCTCCTGCTAAATTTTTTCCTGCTCATTTTTTTTAAAGACTGTTCTCTGCACTAAGATCATTCAGGACAATGATGATTATGCGGAGCTAAGCAAGGCTAAGCACCACCCGGTGACGTCACCACCCTCGCAGTGCTTTCCCCCCCTCATATCTACCAGTCTCATGGTGTCAGTTTACAGCCACTAACAGATACTTTTAACATAAATTAAACCAAACCAGAACAGGAAAATAACCCATTTTCTCACTCAGAAACATGGCAAACAGCCAGAAACATTGCACACATAGTTCCTACCCATCATACTTTGCAATGCTCAAAGTTTCTCTGGGACGTGACTCTCTCACACATTTCTTCACACATCTTTACTTTAATGCAAACAGATTTATTACCAAGAGAATATTTATGATGACACACATCAACTTTGTAATTAATTTATAAATTTGGTTAATCACAAAGAGGATCACCAGAGTTAATTCATTATAGATAATGACACGAGGGAGACGTCCGACACACATTGAATGCATCACTATGCTTCAGCACAGCAGAGTTCTGCTCCGCCTCTTTGGTTCTGCTTGACTGGAGTAATTTCTGAAAGCTCACATCTGGATGGGACGCTTTACCAGCAGTGCAAGATAAAAGTTAGCGCTTTAGCGTTAGCTTCCTATATATATATATATATACATGTATTTTTTTTTAAATCTGTTTAGCGGTTAAGCGTTCGCAAAGCTAATTTTTTTGTTAGCAAATTTGTGGTTAGCAAAGCTAACTTTTTGATTAGCTGTGCCCACCATTGTTTACATGTAAACGTGGACGATAAAATTAGGAATGATTTCTGTAAAGTTGCTCTCGAATATTTCATCATGTGGCTGACTTGCTTTAAATATTGTCCTTCTCCAATCAGAACAGGGATAACTACATCCGCTCTTGCAAGCTGCTCTCAGACGGGCGAACCTTGATTGTTGGCGGCGAAGCCAGCACGCTGTCCATCTGGGATTTGGCCACGCCCACTCCTCGCATTAAGGCGGAGCTAACGTCGTCCGCTCCGGCCTGCTACGCCCTGGCCATCTCGCCTGACAACAAGGTCTGCTTCTCCTGCTGCAGCGATGGCAACATCGTCGTCTGGGACCTCCACAACCAGACGCTGGTCCGGTAAGAGAAACTGCTGACTCATCATCAGAGGTTTCATCCAGTCACATGAGGAGAGCAGATGGAAACTAGAGACAAGGATAGATTCATCCGAACAATACTGGCAAAGAACAGATGGAAAAAACATAATACAACCTGTTTTTGTGTGCCAGTAATAGAAAAACATTGGCTATAATATTATTGATTTTAAAATAAATAATGTACAGATGGATTGGTGCAGCGTCTGCAGTGTTGTACAGTAGACTCTGTGCCGGTCCGTGGTGAAGAGGGAGCTGAGCTGTAAGACAAAGCTCTCTGTTTAGTGGTCGCTCTACGTTCCTACCCTCACCTATGGTCATGAGCTCTGGGTAGTGACCAAAAGAACGAGATCATGGATACAGGCGGTTGAAATGAGTTTCCTCCGCAGGGTAGCTGGACTCTCATTAGAGAGAGGGTGAGAAGTTCAGCTTTCCGGGAGAGACTCGGAGTAGAACCGCTGCTCCTCCACATCAAGAGGAGCCAGTTGAGGTGGTTCGGGCATCTGGTAAAGACGCTTCCTGGACGCCTCCCTAGGGAGGTGCTTCAGGCATGTCTGACTGTGAAGAGACCCGGGGAGACTGGAGAGACTTATGTCTCTGTTGGCCTGGGAACACCTTGGAATCCTCCCAGAAGGGAGGGGGAGGGAGGGAGGGAAATAATTAATATTGCTCTAAAGAACCATAGTACTTTCTTTCACATTCACTTTTGTGCCCAAATATTCAGAATCAAACTCTGAATTTAGTGGAGGTTTTTCCAGCAAACATCATTTTTTCTCCAGATTCAGGCCAATAATTTATACCATCGCAGCTTAATTTAGTTTCTATGTTGACAAACGTCCTTAAAGATGTTCGGCTCTTAGTTTCATGTTTCTGGCACAACCTGCAGTCCTGTTGCAGAATGCCCAAAATGTGGCAGCTTGTTCTGCTAAGGCAGAAGACAGTCTGACACTAAGCTTTTGATACAACAGCAAACACTGGCAACAGAAAGCTTGAACAAGTTGCATTAAATGATCATTTTGTTTATTAGTTGCTTGTTTAAAGCCACTGCACTGTAAACAGATTCAGGCTAATCGTTGCTGATTTCAGATGAGAAACGATCCGACCTGCTCTGCGTCATTGCTCACTGATTCATGGTGATCTCAGGTCAAACAGGCTACAAATAATTTAATCAGGATTTTTATTTTTTTCAATAAAAGGAGTTAGTTTGGTTGTCCCTGAATCATTTCTATTTTAAAACTCTGATAAAGTTTCTGATCAGGTCTTTGTTAGTAACGTCTCTGATTTATTCAGTTTTCTGGGATCGTCTTCGACTGTCATAAACTTTTAGTGTGCTCTAATGATTAATGTTACCAAGTGTCATTTAGTCTTACACATCACCATAACCAAATCGTTTTTCTGTTTTCCGTTGACTGTGTTTTTTCGTTTAGTGTTTTTTTTTTCAATGTTTATTGGTGGTAAAAAATAAAAAATGAGCGGGTTTACATGAAAAACGCTGTAGTTTACGTGTCAGTCGGGTTGCCAGATGAGAAATTATGAACTACCAGTAGTTCTTCCTTTATTGCAGGTGTTTGGGACCTCGCCCACCCGCGATAAGTGAAAAACCGCAAAGTAGAGATACAGTAGTCAAAGTTCAGTCCAAGTTCAGTAAATTTTTTCACGACATGTGCCATGCTGCAATCACACTCATCACCTGTTACTCCCACTCTACCTCCTTAAATAAACAATTTAAATTTAAATACTGTAACGTTTTAAATAGACAATCCACACAGCATGGATTGTTTATTAAAAATATTACAGTATTTAAATTTAAATTGTAGAGAAGAGAAGTGCAGCAGGGCAACAAAGGGTTAACCCTTCACGAAGTTCTGCAGCACGGAGCAGAAATGTACTTCTTGATCAATTACACTGCAACAACTGAACATAGTAGTTCTAAAATAATTAAAAATAACTTTTGACACTTATATTTTGTGAATATGACGACTTTACGATGTGACATACTTTGAATTTTAAGTTGGAAGACAAAAGTCGATCGGTGCATCTGGACAGCAAAGGGTTAACCTTCACAAAGCTGCTGCAGGAGAAATGTGTGTGCGTGGCAGAGGAGATCAGCTGATCAGCTGCAGGTGGGAGCTTCCCCTGCACATGTGAGTTGCACACATGGTGCAAAATAATTTAAAATAATTTATTTTAAATAAACAATCCATCAGCCAATTGTGTCATGTCCAATCTTACTTTGAAAAACCGTGATATAGTGACTCCGCAATAAACGAACCGCAAAATAGCGAAGGACTACTGTATAGTATAGTACTGTGACTTTAAAATGATAGTATTTTGACCTAAACTGTCATTATGTGCTGAGTAAAGATATTCTAAGATGAGTTGTGTGTTGTGTTTGTTGAACATGTGCACAGAAAAGGAGGGAGTAAATAAGACATTTTAAATTTATCTGGCAACCCTGATGCCGGGCTCAGCTGCATTCAGTGTGCATGCAGAGTCTGCATGACAGTAAAGTCCAAACTGGTGAACACACTGACGTCTCTTTGGACCCTGGATTTTAATAGTTTTGCTCCTGCATGCTGAAAAAGAGCGAGTAGCACAAAAACGCTCTGCTCTCTGCCGTTTAACTGTTGTTAGTGCAGAAAAACTTTGGACTGCAGTGTAATGTGCATGTGCAACTTCACACATGGAGAATTTCACACCTTCAGGGAAGAGGGGAGAGGGATCCCCCCCCCAAAAAAAACCTTCACTCTGAGACCTGGTTTGAGAGAATGAGGGCTGTGATTGGCTGCCCTGTATGTCAGTCAAGTAACACATTATTGAGAATGGATGATAGGCCGATGTCTGGTTTTTTTAATGCCCTGCGATCTACCCATAATGCCTTTGTGATCGACGGGCTCTCCTGTTGTAAAGTGTTTGAGTGTATTAACCTAAAACTTCTAACCATTTTTAAAAAATGTGGTTAAACTGTCGTACCTCAAAACAGCTTCATAGAACGTGAGAAGCTCCAAAAGGACTGACGACGTTATTAAAGACAGAGCACTCAAGACGTAACTTGTGTGGGTTGTGGTGTCGGATAATGTTTGGTCTCGTCCTGCAGGCAGTTCCAGGGCCACACAGATGGGGCGAGCTGCATCGACATCTCCAACGACGGCACCAAACTGTGGACCGGAGGGCTGGACAACACGGTGCGCTGCTGGGACCTCCGGGAGGGACGGCAGCTGCAGCAGCACGACTTCACCTCACAGGTTCTCGGACCAAACCGACTCTTTTTCACAGTCCTGATAAATACTTTTTAGCGTTCCACTTTATCCTCATGCATCCTCTCCGTCCGTCTCCAGATCTTCTCTCTGGGCTACTGTCCGACGGGCGAGTGGCTCGCTGTGGGGATGGAGAGCAGCAACGTGGAAGTCCTGCACGTCTCCAAACCTGACAAGTACCAGCTGCACCTCCACGAGAGCTGCGTCCTCTCGCTTAAATTCGCCTACTGCGGTACAAACACACACACACACACACACACCAAATGATGTAGTTGCATAACAATCCCCGAGTATATTTAATCTTAGCGAGGTAAAACATTTCCAGCTCATTGTTCAGAAACTTTCCGTTTGCCTCAGCGCTCATTTACAATAGCAGCACCTCCATATCTCCCCTCCCCCGAGACTATCTGCTGACAGCTCTGTGCGTTTGCTCCTGTAGGTAAATGGTTTGTGAGCACAGGGAAAGATAACCTTCTGAACGCCTGGCGGACGCCCTACGGATCCAGCATATTCCAGGCAGGTGTCATGTGCATCTTACCAACAGAAGCTGTTTTGATGGGAGAAACAGGCACCATGTCTGAATTTCCTCCTGACCGTTGGGTCTGATTGACGGTTTGTTGGTAAACCTTCCTCTCTGTGTTCAGTCCAAGGAGTCCTCGTCCGTCCTCAGCTGTGACATCTCACCCGACGACCAGTTCATCGTCACCGGCTCTGGGGACAAGAAGGCGACAGTCTATGAAGTCATCTACTGATGTGATTGGCTCCACGTGGGAAGCGTCTAACCAGAGGGCGGAGCCGAGGCTCCCTCCTACACCACTGACCGTACGGAGCGTCGGCGGCGCGGTGAAGCGAGAGACGCTCGACTTCTACGTTGTTTTATTCACAGCTGTGAGAAATGAGAGAAGGCAGGACAGGCAAAGTCACATCTCTGGAAAAACTTTGATTCGAATGCTCTGCGAACGCTGCGAAATTCTGGGATTCCTCCAAAGAACTTTTGATTTTATTTTATTTTTTAAACAAAATACTAAAAAAAAACAAAAAAAAAAAAAACCTCTGTAGTTTAAAAGAAATAATTTTTTTTTTTTTTTTTTTTTTTAGCTTTTGATTTTATTGCCAACTGTTTTTCACTAGAGTCAAGATGCAGAGGGAGGAAGTTTCACTAAGAAAAAGCTGCCCTGACCCGATGTAGGACGTGAAGTCAAAGTCCGAGTATTCTCGGCCCAGTTCGGCACGGCACGGTCCAGCTCAGTGGACGGCGCACGGCAGATGATCTGCTGAGGTTCAAGCTGCTTTTATTTCCCCCTCCTTTATCATTTTAGCAGCAACATGATTGTAAAACATCTCGTGTACACTCAGTTCGGCTGGTTTCTTCTAAAATATGGATTTTTTTTAAATGATTTTTTTACAGAGTGGACACAAAACAAAAACCTAAACTCAGTTTAACCATGAAGTCTCTTCAGTATCAGGACACATCTGCAACCCTCCGTGTGCGTGGGTTGTATTAGGGCATATGTAAACAAACTCTTCAGTATTTTATAAAACCCATCATGATCCTTGGACCTTGCTATATATGATTGTGTAAATAAAGTTCTCTAAAGGCAAATCGAGGATATTCTCTGTGGCGTGGACTTGTGTGAGACTGCCAACCCGAGTGTTTGACTCTGAAATGTCTGTTTTTTTTTTTATTTTCATACCTGAAGTCATGATGGAAAACAGCATCGTGACTTTACTGATTAGTTGGAGCTGACGTGAAAGAGTTGCTGCTCGTTTCTCCGTCGTCGGCTTCTGGCAGCTTTGACTCAGACGTTCTGAACCGACTGGAAAATAAGTAGTTGTTGCTTATTTGTTGGAACACTTAACAGCCGACGTGTTCCCACCGTGCGCTGTCAGGAAGCATCTTTAGAAAGATTTGGATGACAACCGAGCCATGTGAAAGTTGACACCACCTGTGACAGCGCCTCTCTCTGAGGGAACTGAGCTGCTCTGCTGTGTTGACTTGCGTGAGGGAGCGTCTTGGGATTCGTACCTGCAGCATGTGGAGTTGTGGTTTACAGCTTTGTTTGGTTGACGCAGTTGGTTTTCGAGCAGAAAATTCATGATTTGAGGTTGGAAGGTCGGCACGGATGAAGCTTTGGGTGAGGAATGGTTCATCTGTGTTGGTGACGTAGTCCAGTTTAAACTCTTGCTGCTGTAGAGTGCAGTCCTGATCTGTTTGGACTGAAGTAAACACGTCTTCTCTCCTGTTCTGTGAGTTCACTCCTCTAAAACTTGAGTTTTAGGAATAATTGTCCCTGGTTAGAGCAGAGACCTGTGGACCAGCACCATCATGGACTCCCAACACAGTTTGTGATGCAACAAATCTCAATTTAATGGATGAATGAGAACCTCAGCTGCTGATTAGGGCCCATTAAAGATGTTTGATAAGTTTGTTTTACGTCGTTCAAACTGCAGCTCAACATATTGACAGACTTCTATGAGAATATGGAAATGTGTATAAATGAGCTCCATTATCTGTTTGTTCAGCGAGACGTCCACGGAGTCTCAGTCCAGGAACCAAAATCTTGTCGTTTCAGAGTTTAGTTTTTCTGTTTCTTTTTGTGTATTGTCAGTGTCATGCTTTTGAAAACACAAACTGAGACGAGGTAAACGGTGACTGCTCTTTTTTTTTTTTTTTTTTTAAATCACTGGATTAAGTTGGTTGTCACTGTTAGGTGAATAAAGATGTTTTTCTTGATGTTCAGCCTTTTCTTTCAGCACTTGAACATCCACAGCTGCGCTGGCAGCATCTTTAACTTACCCATGTTGGATGAATGCAGGTTTTTATTTCACATTTACTAAAGAAGAGCCTAACTGCTAAAGATCAGGCATTATTGAGCATTATGCATGTTCCTGCTCAGTGTTGAGCTGCTTGGAAATCTAAAAAGATCTAGCACCAGTCAATATATTTTTTTAATCCACCTTCTCTGTACCAGTCTCTAGCAGTTATTGTGCAAGAGAGCAAGTCCATCACAGGTCAACGTAAACATTTTATGCTCAAACACTGATAATTTCAGAACATTGGCTTTCTATCAAGTCATTTTTATTAAATCTTTTAAAATGACAGAAACATGTCCCTTCTTTGTCATTGTATTGCATTGAGTCACATTTTGGTAAGCTAACTATACCATAGTGCAAGTGGTGAATTGTATCGGAATCATTTTTGCTGCTCATTTATCAGATTTTTTGGCGGTGCTTCAAGATTAAAATCGTCCACAGACAAGAGACGCACAACCCGCATGAAAATGTTCTTAACTGATAAATGTCAAATCAGCTCCAGAACCAGTAAACACCTGAGCTCCAGCTAAAAGAACAAATAAAAATTCAAAAAGCTTTTTTTTCTCTGCTAGACAAAAACTGTGCACCATATTTTCTGGCATATAAGTCGCTCCGGAGTAAAGTCACATTAGTCAAAAAACACATAAGTCGCATTTATTATGCGTCACCGCTAATCCATCACATTCATTATGTGTTTATTTAACTGTCAAACAGCTTTAATTTGCCTGGGCGGCGCAGCACCATCCATCCATTGTGGCCAGATCCACTAGCTCTCCAGCGTTCCTCCGCCTGCACCAGCTGAGCGGAGCGGAGGACTCGCTGTTGCAGTTCTTCGAAATTTAAAGCGTCAGTCAAAAATTGCGTTATGAATATGGGAGAAAAAAGTATGTCGCTTCAGCGTATAAGTCGCAGGACTGACAAATCTGCAACAAGCTGACTTATACTTCAGAAAATACGGTAATTGACTTGAATGTTTGTTAGCACGCTAACATGAAACTAAACTTGGGTAGAACACAAACCCTCCTACATGGACTAATGTCGCAATAAAATATAAAAAGTTAGACTCTGCAAACATGAAAAGATGAACACGTGTTTCATTTATTTTTCACACAGTATTTCTTGTACAGCACAAGGAAAAACCCATCGGGAGGGAAGAGAGTGCATCCAAAAAGAAAAAAATAAAAGTTCCTTGGCTTTTCAAAAGAGAAAACTTGACATGAGCTGTAAAATAAAAATAATAATAAAAAAAACAGTTTATACACAGTTGGAACTGAATGAAACACAGGCAGGGGGACACAGGAGTCTCAAATACAACACCCCAAACACTGATGCTAACCCAACATATGCATAGCCATTATACAGCATCATCTTCAGTGGTGTATGGGCTCGTGCGCGAGCGTCATGGCTACCAGAGACTGTCAGACAGGAAGAGGCAGGCAAAGGCATGAAACTATACAGATTCAACTTTTCACAAGTCCCCATTATTGTTCTGCTTTAGTGCTACAGTGACAAACAAATCTTGCTAAACTTTAATACAGGTAAAGTAAATTGCATACTGCCATTCTTTCTTCTGTGAAGGTGGGTCTGTGGGACCACTCGCCTTTCTCGACAACTAAAACCAGATTTCCTTTAGTCAGCGGTGGAGCTTTCAGGCATGCAGTAAAACTGGAGCATCTTGGATGGGGCCGAGCCGCAGCCAGCTCCTGCTGTCTACGCACCATCCTCAGAGGTATAAAGACCAAAAACAGACTGAAGTATGATAACTACCGCTTCTGAAAGGAGTGGGGCAAAGTATAAACAAACAGCTGACAAGAACCGGTTCTAATCTTAAATAGAGGCTCTATTTTATTTTTCTCTCCACTGGACGGCTGCTGATGTAAACCTTCTGCTTGACATCATCACATAGGTTTAGATTCCTCTCTGAACCCCCAGCTAACCACGGTCAACCCCACAAGTTTAACATCAATTCATGATACACGCAATCGCTTGTTTAGAAAAGAAATTTGAACTTACGGAGTTAAAAAAAAAACATCTTGATGTGTGCATTTTTATTTTAAACACTGGACATGCTCTGCAGAAGCAGACAGCTCCAATATGCAGTCAGTTTGAAATTATAAAAAAAATACAAATCAGGATAAAAGATTTGACTTTATTTATTTTTCCCTGATTTCCCTGATTTAAGGTCAAGTCTGCACAGTAAATGTGGTTAACATTTAGTGAAAACCGGTTTAAAGTCAGAGCGCTCAAGTTCCCACTTGAAGTCGCGTCGTGTTCAGCCTGACTCCACTGAATGAATGAAGCGGCCATTTTCCTCCTAAATGATCTGAAAACCTCACTTCTCAGTTCTGCGCTGTAACACAAGTATGTTCAGTTTTGCTCCCCCTTTTCCACGACAATCCCATCACTTCCCGTTTCTCCTCAGTTTGTTAGAAACTGGTCAATTTGTGTGTTAGAAACAAAGGTTCACGTTCTCACGGCTGTGAATGTTGCGGAGAAGTTGAACAGAATCCACGAGGGAGTCGTCAAAATGTTTTCGGAGGTTTCTGAGCTTCTGGTAAAAAAAATTTTCTTACAAAATATAATTATCTAAGTTGCTTTGAACCCATCTGAGTTTTGTTGCCGGCATCTTTAGCTCGTCTCCAAACTACAAGAGCTGCAGTTTGACTCTCCTCTGACAGAAAACATGTCTAAGTTTAATAAACATTAAATGATTGATAATAATTGAACAAAACTGGTCCAAATCTGCCATTTTGTTTCAAAAGTATAGTGTAGTGGATTCATTCATAAATGTGGAGGCAGCTGCTGAGGTGGATACGATGCAGATGGAGGCGGGCAAAGAAATATTGTGCACAGTTTAGATGGAAGAGTTGTGCAAAATGTGCACACAGAAAAGCTGTAGGTTGCGTCAGGTCCTCAGGACAAAAGACCTTCAGTCTGAGGAGCTTCAATGTGGGTTGGATTTGTAGCTAGTGGTTGAGAGGTGGTGGCAACAACCAGTTGGACAGTCAAAAACTCCCATGCCTGTGACATCACTTATCAGTGACGAGACTCGGGGCAGGCGAAGCTGCTCTGTGAACAAAATGATGTGATTTTCATCACCCAACTACGAGACAATTTTGGCACTTGGGCTGGAGTAGGCCGGGCCCTTCAAGTTGTCTTACAGAGACGTTACAAGATGCAATAAACAGTTTTATAAGCAGCACTTTCTCATAGTGGATCAACTCGTTTAATGGTGACAGACAGACTGGTTGATCACATGCAAAACGTGGACCATCAGCCTAACAACTGATCATTAGTTCCTTGATAGCCACTTGCTATTCACAGAGGACTGAGTGATACTAGCAATAACAGCATTGTAAGAGGGGGACAGTTGAACATGGAGGCCTCCACCCCTGTTTAATGATGGACAAGTTCTTTACAAAGATGGCTTCCTTCACTGCTCTCTCAAACCATCGTTCCTCTCTGTCCAGGATGTGAACATCTTCATCCCTGAAAGAGTGACCGCTGGCCTGGAGATGAGTGTAGACCGCAGAGTCCTGGCCTGATGATGTTGATCTTCTGTGCTGGGTCATCCTTTTGATCTGTGAGTTTGTTGCAGTTCCTCAGACTGAAGAAGTCTTTGTTGAAACAATTTGTTTATCTTTTAATCAAAGAAGAATCTGTCCGGAGGACCTGACTCAACCTTGTTAGATTTATTTGGGTATGCATCAGGACAAAAAAAAAGCAAATAAAAAAATGGATGCACAAAATGTGGCTGTACGGCTCGCTGCTCACTTTGTGAAAAACACTCCGAATACATCAAGACCACATCTGAAAATGTTTCTTAATCACAAAACTGAGTCATGGCTGAATCCCTCACTAGCCTCCAAGAGTTAACCCAGTAGCTATGTTTACATGTGTAAAATTATTTAACCGGATTAAAAAGTTTTCAGATTAAATAATTCAAATGTATCGTTTACAGTACATGGGCACAATCTGTTCACGACAAGCGTTTGCATGCAGCGGGGTTTGTTCTGAACATAAGTACTGACGTGTGCAGAGTGGTAAACTCTCCTTAAAAAAACACAGAAGAAGAAGTTCTACTTCTGGGATGAACATAAACAAACCTGAGCGCCCAAAATGGACCCGCGACAGGTTTTAATGATGGTGGAGATGTTACTGCACTCCCTGACTGAGCTACAGGTGATGCAGATCATTTTGAGCTCTTTCAAAGTTTCTAGTAGAAATGTTGTGTCGCTCACCAACCAGTTTTTCTTCCCCAACATGCTAATATGATTAGCATTAACCAGGCGGAAATGACATAGGTCACACATGTGCAGTCAGGTCAGTTTTTCACGATCTGAAAACAATGAACAGGTTCAGGGTGCATTCACACCAGCCCTGTTTAGTCCGCTTTAATCAACTCTAGCTCGTTTTCCTAGAAAGTCCGGTTCGTTTGGGGAGGTGTGAACGCGCCATCGAACTCTGTCACAGAACAAAAAGGCAAACTCTGGCCCGGACTAAAACCTAGGTCTCAGTCCGGTAGAAGCGAACTCCAGCGCGGTTCAAGTACAGTGTGAATGTAAACAGACCGGCCCGCAGGGTAAACAAACACGCATTTCTCTGACCTCATATGGAGCCGTCAGCTGCCTTGTGTGGAAAACAATATTCTCCGTGGTCTTCTGTCTCATCTTCTGCTCATGCTGTCCATTTTTGAAAAATGACAAAATAGAACTCCTAAAACTGCTAAAATTTGATGCCACTTCGTTTTTATTTTTATTTACAGAAGAAGAAGAAGAAGAAGTGTCTTCAGAGGTTTTTGTGTCGTTTCTTTCAGTAGTTCTTGGTGCAGCGCCCCCACAGGCGAGCGAGGGAACAGGTTGGTTCAACAGGTTGACTCGACTGCACAGTGCAGTGTGAATGCAAACGCACCAGCTCAAATGTAAACAAAAGCTCATGAATATTGGTCCCGAACCGAACCGAGTCTACCGGACTATCTGGTGTGAAAACGACCTAAGTGTTTACATGCACACCTTTCGGATTATGAATTGGCATAAACCACCCGTCTCATTCTGATTACAAATTGTTTCAGATCGAGTTAAATAAACAAAAAATAATCCGAATGGGGCGTTTACATGACACATTTTTATTCCAAATGGCCGTTTAATCCGATTACTTATGTCCATGTAAACATAACTAGTGAGACACTAACTTTATGCTGTAGATTCTTGCAGAAGCAGTAACTTTCTACAATCCCACCTGTTACCAGGCAACTGCTTCCGATGAAGAAGTAATTGTGAATTTGTTAATTTTCACACTCCAGTATTTTTTAAAACAAACAAATACAATGCCATGTGTTAATCAGTGAGCCTAGAAGCCCCCTCGTTAGACGCAACGTGCTTTCAGTTTGTGGGGTTAGCAAACTTTACATTTCTCTTACAGACGTGAGTAAGGTGCAAAAAAATCTTGTTTGAATCAGGACAAGAACTGGTGTGGGATATTTTTATAAAAATTAAAGAAAATTTAGCTGAAAGTAAGGAAGCAAGCTGATGTAAATAAGGACGTTTGGAAATGAAAACTTTTAACTAGTTGTGTAAAATAAAAAATAAAAATGTATTAATTGTGTTGATAGCGTGATTTGCTCTCCAGCCTGCCGTACAGTGAGGTGCTCCATGTCAGGGGAACAATCTGGAGGAATTAAAGGGAACACTTTCAGCTAACCCCGGGCAATCAGAGCATCTCAGCGACTTCCTCGCCTTTGTCAGAACAAAATGAAACGGGTAACGAGAGGAGGAGTGCGATGAGTGTTTTCCTCCTTTCATAAGCTTTCCTTTAGTGGGTGTTACGAGGTACTCTCGCCTGGTGACATGCGGCGACACCAGTTTGTGTATGGGAGCAGGTTTCATGTCTGTTTGTGGCAATCTGACGCGGTTCTTTTCCATCTCAGAGAGCTGTCCCTCCCCAGCTCCTGACACCTCTCGCTGGGGAGACGGAGCTTCAGCGTCGGCCTCATTAAGGCCTCCACTGTCTGGCTAATGAATCGATTGTGTGCTATCAGTGCTCCTGGCTGGCGCTCCCACAGTGCCGCTTTGCGCCTCCTCTGGGGGCCTCCCTTCCACTGAGCTCTTAATCAGGAAACAGCCCTAATTACCCTGCCTCCCTCTTCCTCTTCCCCTCACCCTTTTTCTCTTTCTTCCACTCTCTGTCTCTCGCTGCTCGTTTTTCCAATTTTATCTTTACACTCCACCGCCCTCTTTCTTTGTCTTCCTTATCTTGTGTTTTTTTATTCTGCCTCCCTCCCTGCTATCATGCCTCATTTGTGGAGCTAAAAATGGGAGGAGGAGGAGGGGAGGGGGAGGGTGGGGACGTTTAAAACCATCTACAATAGCTTATATGACAGCTGAGTGTTGTGGGTCAGGACAGAGGTGCTGTTGCTGCTGATCAGGTAGGGTTGACAGGAAACCTAATTGCCCAATTTGTATAAACTCCGAAAAAGAAATGAAAAATAAAAGACAAAAAAAAAAAGATAGTTGTTTTCTTCTCCTGGCCGTCAGTACACCACCTCATACACCGTGGCCTTCTTGTCCCCGGAGCCCGTCACTATGTACTTGTCGTCCGGGGAGACGTCACAGCTCAGCACAGACGACGACTCCTTGGACTGCGAGCGGGGGAGGAGGGGGACGATGGACCAAAACAGACACAAAGAAAGAGATGTTAGGAAAGATATGACTAAACATTTAATACTTAACCACACAAGACATTTGCATTTCAAAGCTGGCAGCAATTATTTCCAAACACACTTCTGCACAGCTCCAGGATGCTGACTCATCCATCTGCTTCAACATGAGACAAACCGCTTGGATTTTTATTTTCTCCAGTGAGACGCTGCCTTATTAGGTGCAGCTTGGTGTGTCGCCAGAACAGATTTGATGGCTTGCATGAACTGACAAAATGCGGCTTTTTATTCGCTTCTTGCCACCCTGAGTGTCAGAAAGTCAAACCTGGTTTTAGATCCATCTAAAGCTCCTTCAGCTCCAACCCTCCACAATCATTCATCCTTTCACCCCTGACTTTCCTCCTCCTCCTGCTCCTTTCTTCACTCGGAGCTCTTCTCTAAACTTGCACAACAATCCACAGCGGGGCCAACAATTATCAAAGCACCAGTGAGTGTTCTTTAAGACTGGATTTCCTATCTTAAACCAAGATAGCACGAGGCGAAAAGTCCACTAGGAAGAAGTGACTGACTAAAGGGATGAAAGTTCAACAAAACATTAACACACAAATATACAGGTGCTGGTCATAAAATTATATCAAGTTGATTTATTTCAATAATTCCATTCAAAAAGTGAAACTTGTATATTATATTCATTCAGTACACAAAGACTGACATATTTCAACTGTTTATTTCTTTTAATGTTGATGATTATAACTGACAACTAATGAAAACCCCAAATTCACTATCTCAGAAAATTAGAACATTACTTAAGACCAATAAAAAAATGATTTTTATAAATGTTGGCCAACTGAAAAGTATGAACATGAAAAGTATGGGCATGTACAGCACTCAATACTTAGTTGGGGCTCCTTTTGTCTGGATTACTGCACCAATGCGGCGTGGCATGGAGTCGATCAGTCTGTGGCTCTGCTCAGGTGTTATGAGAGCACAGGTTGCTCTGATGGTGGCCTTCAGCTCTTCTGAATTGTTGGGTCTGGCATATAGCATCTTCCTCTTCACAATACCCAGTTTGCTGGCCAATTAAGAACAGGAATACCGTGGTCCTTAAACCAGGTACTGGTAGCTTTGGCACTGTGTGCAGGTGCCAAATCCTGTTGGAAAACGAAATCTGCATCTCCATAAAGTTGGTCAGCAGCAGGAAGCATGAAGTGCTCTAAAACTTCCTGGTAGATGGCTGTGTTGACCTTGGACCTCAGAAAACACAGTGGACCAACACCAGCAGATGACATCGCACCCTAAACCATCACTGACTGTGGAAACTTGACACTGGACCTCAAGCAACGTGGATTCTGTGCCTCTCCTCTCTTCCTTCAGACTCTGGAACCTTGATTTCCGAAGGAAATGCAAAATTTACTTTAATCAGAGAACATAACTTTGGACCACTCAGCAGCAGTCCCAGGCAAGATGCTTCTGACACAGTCTCTTGTTCAAGAGTGGCTTGACACAAGGAATGTGACAGCTGAAACCTATGTCTTGCATACGTCTGTGTGTGGTGGTTCTTGAAGCACTGACTCCAGCTGTAGTCCACTCTTTGTGAATGTCCCCCACATTTTAGCATGGGTTTTGTTTCACCATCCTCTCCAGGGTGCAGTTATCCCTATTGCTTGTACACTTTTTTTCTACCACATCTTTTCCTTCCCTTCATCTCTCTATTAATGTGCTTGGACACAGAGCTCTGTGAACAGCCAGCCTATTTAGCAATGACCTTTTGTGTCTTGCCCTCCTTGTGCAAGGTGTCAATGGTCATCGTTTGGACAACTGTCAAGTCAGCAGTCTTCCCCATGATTGTGTACTCTACAGAACTAGACTGAGAGACAATTTAAAGGCATTTGCAGGTGTTTTGAGTTAATTAGCTGATTAGAGTGTGGCACCAGGTGTCTTTATTATGGAACCTTTTCACAATGTTCTAATTTTCTGAGATAGTGAAATTGGGGTTTTCATTTGTTGTCAGTTATAATCATCAACATTAAAAGAAATAAACATTTGAAATATATCAGTCTGTGTGTAATGAATGAATATAATATACAAGTTTCACTTTTTGAATGGAATTACTGAAATAAATCAACTTTTTCATGATATTATAATTTTATGACCAGCACCTGTATACACCCACTGTTAAATACAACACTTATAAGACCTTAAATATCAAAATATCTACAAGTTATTTTGTGATAACAAAGGTCATATTTGTTTTTTTTTTAACTATGTGTATATATATGTGCGTATAAAAATATATATATATATATATATATATATATATATATTATATATATAAAAAGGTGTTTTAAATCTGTCCCACACTCTTGCAATATTCTAAACAATGCTTCTAAACTCTAAAAGCTCTAACTGAGCACAGAATGTCATGATTTCAGCTCCCTGCCTCCACTGCTTTCAGCCACCTGCAAGCGTTCTTGGTCACGCCCACATTTCCACTCTGCACAGAGAACAGCTGATCAGCTGTTCAGCAGCAGGAGGATGGTTATCCTGGAGGATAGGCTGCACAATGGTGCAGGAGGAAGCTTTTTCTGCAGCTCTGAGCTGCACAAATGTGCAGCAGGTGCTAAATAATTCAAAGTAATTTATTTTAAATAAATATTTCATGCCGATTGTGCAGCTCATCCATCAATCAGCCAATTGCGTATCATGTATAATCTTATTTTGAAAAACAGCAATAGAGCGAGTCCGTGATAAACAAACCGCAAAGTAGTGAGGGACTACTGTATACCCATCTGCTCAAAACAGACTCATTTTCAGGATGCTGTTTAATACACTTTATTATATTATAGTATTACTGTTTAGCGAAATATATATACAGTATATATAAACAGCTAATTTCAGCTGTTTTCAGATAAATTAAAGATTTTTTGTGGTAATTTCTGCTTCTTTCAGGGTAACTGAGCAAACATGTGCTCTTTCCACTTGTGATAGTTTATTATTTTTTCTGTATTTCAGCTTTTTGATGTTTTTTTTCCATTTCTGTCTTTGTTTCCTTTTAGCTTCTTTTTTTACATGTATTGCTTTTTCTCATCTTTTTAGATTTTTATTCAGCTAACTTAATCTTTTTTCAGCATGTTTTTAGTTGTTTTCTGCTTTTTGTACATCTTGGAGCTTCATCTTTCCAAGTTTCAGCTATTAATATTTTTCAAGTAAGTTTCAGCTTTTTAAGCAGTTTTCAGCAAGTTCTTCTGCAATAAGCATTCACACTGCATTTGCATAGGAAATGCAATTTCTAGTTGCAATTGCTGCAATACGTGTTAAAATAAAATAAAAATCATCCAAAAAGCAAGAAAAATATATAGTGCATATTACAAGGAAGACAAAAGGAAAAGACTGTTTTAAAAAAAAAAAAAGGTCAAAGAAAGTCAGGAAATAAGTTCAAACCGATTAGGAGAAAAGGATTAACATGAAAAAGGACAGAGGAAGAAAGAACAATAAATGGAGTTCCAAGGAGAAAAAAGGAGAGATGAGTGAAGCTTTAAAGAGAAGCAAGGAGACAGAAACAAGAAAGGACAGCAATAAATTGAGGAGGAGGAGGAGGAGGAGGAGGAGGAGGAGGAGGAGAGCAGCTCTGTACAACACAGTGAAGTGAGGGAGCTGTTTGGCAGAAGCAGCGTTTGGCATTTGGATAACAAAGAGAGACCGCTGCTTCTTTCGGTCCACGGGGAGAGACAGGAGCCGCCAACCCTGCTGCCCACTGCAGCTTACACAAATATGACAAACACACACAACTCAGCTTAAATGGACCTTCATCTTCATCTTCTCTAGTTTCATTCACACTCAAATGGACAGGCTCAGCTAAATTTACTGAATTCCTGCATGTACCTAATTCAACATTTACTCAAATAAGGCAACTGATCAAGGTCCAATTATGACATTAATTTATGTATGTGTGTGTTTTTGTTTCATTTTTTTTTCATTTAGCCTTTATTTATCCAGGTTAGTCTCATTGAGCCACGAGAACTCATTTTCAAGAGAGACCTGTTTAGGGAGCACATGGTGGGGGTTAAGGGCCTTGCTCATGGGCCCAGAGTGGGGCGAATGAGGGTGGGGGCAAGTGTGGGTGTTTCACCTACCTCACCCACAATTTTGATGTTGTCGGGGCCGGGGCGTGAACCGGCGATCTTCGGATCACAGGCCCACCTCTCTAACCTCTGCGCCACCACTCCCCACAGGTTACATTGTGGAGACCAACTGCTCCTTGTGGGGACCAAAGTCTGGTTCCCATTAGGATAAGTCTCATTGGGTGGTTAGGGTCAGGGTTAGACATGTACTAGTAATGGTTAGGTTTAGGGTAAGGGTCAGGGTTAGGCTATAGAAATGAATGGAAGTTAAAAGGGCCTTCTCATACTCCGCTCCTGTTTCCTGGAATATCTTGCAAAAAGATTTGAAGCTCTCAAACTTGACCTCTCTAAGTGGCTTTAAGAATCTGTTGGACTCCAGGCAAGGACCAATGCAGACATGTTCCTGTTTTTAGTTTTCTACATTCGCCTTATAATCTAGCTGCTTTTGCTATTTTTTTGCCATCTTACTTTAATTTGTATTAAAAAAATAAAGAAAATCTGTAAGCCTCTTTTATGATTGTCTATTGTTGTCGCTGTTGTCCATTGTTGTCATCATTCTTTGTTGAAATCAGGTCTCTCTTGTAAATGAGTCCTTGAGGCTCAATGGGATTAACCTGTCAAAATAAAGGTTGAATGAAAAATGCAAAGTCCCCACAAAGTACAAATGCAAGAACGCGCGTGTGTGTGTGTCAGTCAGGCAAATTTAGAATTAGGGACAGGAAGCTGATCTGTTTCAACTCAGAATCTGATGGCTTTTGAAGTCCAAACCTGCATCTAAATTAGCATTTGATCCTGTATAAACTATGCACTGAGTAGAAACATGCTGCTCAACCCTCACCTGGAAGATACTCGCTCCATATGGTGTCCTCCATGCATTAAGCAGATTGTCTTTTCCTGTGCTCACGAACCACTTTCCTGTAGATAAACATGGTGCATGTTACAAAGCATCTAGAGACAGCCACGAGGACCAGTATGGCTGCAGAAAATCCCCGTCGTGTGTGCGTTCAGTGTTTGTACCGCAGTAGGCGAACTTGAGTGAGAGGACGCAACTCTCGTGGAGGTGCAGCTGGTACTTGTCAGGTTTGGAGACGTGCAGGACTTCCACGTTGCTGCTCTCCATCCCCACAGTGAGCCACTCGCCTGTCGGACAGTAGCCCAGAGAGAAGATCTGGAAATGAAGGGACGGGGTAAAGCAAAAGGGAAGGAAGAACGATAGAACGGAGGATAAGGTTGATTGAAAGAAGAGAACAATGAATGAAGGCAGCGAAAGCGGAATGAGGTATTAAGTGGAATGATTGGACATCCAAGAGACGAGATAGAGGCATCGAGGGGAAACGGGTAGGTAGGGAAGTTAAGAAGGGTAAGGTAAATACAGAGGGGATTAAATAAACGAGTAAGATTGAGAGAAAGGAAGGTGGCAGATGTAGGAAGATAAAAGAAACAGAGAAAGTCATTACATGGTGGATCGAAACTCATTTGACAACAGTGGTCAGCTCGATCAGCCTGTTTTGACAGTGACGAGTCGGAGTCCGATGTTTGTGTGTAAACCTGTGAGGTGAGCTGCTGTTCATACTTTAATCTATCTCTGCCAGGGGGCTAATATGATGTATATTTGTAGTTCCTACATTTTCTCAGTGCACTTCTCTGAATACGTATGACCAGGTGTGTTTCTACCTTTTGCCTCACATTAAGCTGCAACGCATCAACCTGTGTTCGTGTGCGAGTTATTATGCTTCGTACCTGTGAGGTGAAGTCGTGCTGCTGCAGCTGTCGTCCCTCCCGGAGGTCCCAGCAGCGCACTGTGTTGTCCAGCCCTCCGGTCCACAGTTTGGTGCCGTCGTTGGAGATGTCGATGCAGCTTGCCCCGTCTGTGTGGCCCTGGAACTGCCTGCAGGACGAGACACACAAAAACGGCTGAGCTCAAACATACACCTGCAAGTATAGAAATCCTACAGACTCTGTCTCCTGTGTGTGTTTCTGTGCTTCTTTTCTGCTGGAGGTGTCAAAATGAGTATTTTAAATCCTCACTCTCTGCAGCACCTACGCCCTCAGCCCACCCACACACACGCCTCATACACCTAAAAATCAACACCTTCTTTCCATTCTTCTGTTTTCCTGTCTTACCAAATTCTTAGAGTCAGTCTGGTTATTCCACCTGTTTCTCCTCATTTGTTACTATTTTTATCTTCTATTACTCGGTTCCCCTATACTCTTCCTTTCACATCCTGACGTTATTATTGCCAACAAACCTGATTTTTTTTTTAAACCTTAATTGTACCAGGAAAAAAATCCATTGAGATTATTAATCTCTTTTATAAAGATGTCCTGGGGTTGGGTTGTTGGGTTCTTACCGGACCAGCGTCTGGTTGTGGAGGTCCCAGACGACGATGTTGCCATCACTGCAGCAGGAGAAGCAGACCTTGTTGTCAGGTGAGATGGCCAGGGCGTAGCAGGCTGGAGCGGATGACGTTAGCTCTGCCTTGATGCGAGGAGTGGGCGTGGCCAAATCCCAGATGGACAGTGTGCTGGCCTCGCCGCCAACAATCAAGGTTCGTCCATCAGGGAGGATCTTGCAGGAGCGGATGTAGTTATCCCTGTTCTGATTGGATGAGATTTTTTTTTTTGTAATCTGTTGCAGCTTCTGTTATTTATTACGATGGAGTATTAGGGCTACGCTGAGAAAAAATTTACATTACAAGAAAAAAAGTCATAAAATTATGAGAATAAAGTCATAATTTTACTAGAATAAAGTTGTAATGTTACAGAACTCCGACATGAAAAAGCATTTTACAACTGTGGTAAAATGATGAATGTTGAGCATCTTATTAAATTATACTTTGGTATTGGTTTTACAAATAAGGAAATAATTAATCTCTTAGCACTTCAGCATCAGATTATTATCAGAATCAAGATTTTGAAACGATTGTGCAAACAACTATGTCTGTTCCGCAGAAAGAATCACACGGATTTGGAAAGATATTGCTTCTTTTGTGGAAGAGGAGCATTTTGGCAGTGGTCGACTGCAAGGCTGTAGGTGGTTACATCTGCGGACCATTCACAGAGGTTTATTATTTTGACTGTATTCTAGTACAATTTTATTCTCATATTACGACTATATTCTCGTATTATTTCGACTTTATTCTCGTAATATTATGACTTTATTGTCATACAACTTTATTCACATAATATTTCAACTTTATTCTTGTAATATGACTTTATTCTTGTGTTATTTCAACTTTATTCTAGTACGACTTTATTCTTGTAATACGAATTTATTCTTATAATAGTATGACTTTATTGTCGTACAACTTTATTCTCGTAATATTTCAACTTTATTTTTGTAATACGACTTTATTCTTATAATAGTATGACTTTATTCTCGTAATATTATGACTTTATTGTCGTACAACTTTATTCTCATAATATTTCAACTTTATTCTCGTAATATTATGACTTTTGTTTCTCTTAATGTAATTTTTTTTCTTAGCGTGGCCCTAATACGCCGTCATAATTTATTGCTTTACTAGGTTAGATTTTTTGTTTTTGCCATGCTCTAAGAAATATTATTACATTTTTTTCACAGACACTATGGATAAAATATCAAATTTAACTACTTGTTGTAACTTGTGTGCATTAATAAGTATGTGTTTGGTGTTAATCCTTGTTTGAGTTTTTGTGTTTGTCCTCCTCATCACGTCTCACCAGACAGTCCAGTTGGGCCATAGGACTCTTGCTTCCTGGCTGGCTGATGTCCCACACCTTGACGCAGCCCTTGCCTCCGGTGTAAACGTGGCGCGTCGAGGTGCTGATGGTGACGGCGCATACCACCTCTCCGTGGCTCAGTGTGTGGATCTGACGGGCGTGACGCGGGATCCCCGGACCGAGCAGGGCGTCGGGGGGAAACGGCACCGGCTGCATCTGACCGTCTGCGCTCACGTGGAACGAGTAGGCGCTGAGACGGAGACAGAAGGGAGAGGGGATCTAAATAAAGTCGATCTTAAGGGATGAAACAGCTGCAGCTAAAATCAAGCTGTGACGGAGTCTGTAGTGAAATGTGCCAGGGAACTAGATGAAAAATCAATCAATCAGCGTGTGAAAGCTACGGGTAAACACAGAAGATTCAATAACAATCTCACAGATGTCGGAGTGAAAGTCTGATGTCACTGTCACATCTTTGACACTCTGGCAATATTTTTTTTCAAATTCAGGCAATTACTGAACTCAGAGCAGCTGTGGACACGAATGCATAATGGCAGATTGTGTTAGAGGGCAGACTTGGTGTGGCGCTGCTAATGGCTGATCAATACTGGAGCGGCTGGAAGCCAAGGCTGTTTTATGATTTCTAATTAGCAGCACAACAATGATCTGCTTCTCTGCAGAAAAGAAGAAAAACGTCACAATTTACAAGCTGCCAAAGACAGAAAAAAAGGTGCAAACGTGCTGCGAACATCAAAAATTTTACATTTCCTGAATGGATTGAGCTCAGGTTTGATGCAGGTTAAACAAAGAAATAAGCCACTATTCCAATCTAAACATTTCCAGAATTTGCACTGAATGCAGTAAATAAATTAAATTAAATAATAATTTAAAAATGTATTTAAATCATATGCAGTCATAAACACAAAGTGTAAACATACTGTACATACAAATCACACTAAGATAACATAAAAGTTCATTCTTTACTAATAATGTATTCATAAACTATCCAAGGTTCCATTTAAAAAGATCTTTCCAAAGCATGATAGATTTAAAAATAAACTTTAAAAAAACTGGGAATATTCTAAAAAGCATCTTGCCGCTGTACATCAAGTCACAATATTTCTGCCTCTAAAGCACAAAAGGGCACTAAAGCAACAAATGTTTTTTTTTATTTATTTTAACCTAAACATTAGAATTTTTGGCTTTGGCTCTAATGATTCAAAGATTAATTGGAAACACAATTTCAAAATAAAGAAACTGGATAAAAAGCAAATGTGATGCAATACGTTTGAAACTAAGAAACATTAAATTGTTGCTCCAGGACTTAAAACAAATGTAGACAAGAAATGAAATAAACAGAATCATGATCCTGTTTTTCATTATCCATTTTATTAATATTTTTGAAAATCTTTCTTGTACACAGGAGCAAATGTTACATATGTGAGTGCACATTTGAGGGGTTTACTAACGGTTTTCCACCAGAGGAACCCGGCAGAGAGGAGGACAGCCCCGGAGCTCTAAGGTGAGAGCGAGAGTCGTACGCCACCTGGAGGGAAGAAAGACAAAAACTAAGTTTGACACACTTTTCAAGCCAGGTATCGAAAATAAAAGCATTTGAATTGACTCAATTAAATCCATTTTCCCAACGAGGACATCAAATGTTGAATTTATTTCCATGGACGTATAATTATGAGCAGTGGTGGACAAAGTACTCAACTCTGGTACTTAAATTAAAGTATTTATACTCATGGTCAAATTTATTCAACTACAATTAAAAGTTGCTCAGACTGAAGTCAAAGTACTGAAGTACTTATTTTTGAAAACACGTAAATTTTCAAAAGTACATGCATAAAAAAAATACAAATGATATTTTCTAATATCAGTACACTGCTGTATTGTTTTGAGTGATTTTACAGAACATTGTAACTCTCTGAAACCACCTGATGATGTATTGTCACGTAGAACCACTCGAACACCACATGCCTTAATAAAACCAGTGAACTAAAAATAATATCTTCTGTGCATTTTACTTGTTTGTGGAAAGTCATGGAAATCCTAACAGATGATGCACATTTAGTCTTTTCCTCAGCTTCAGTATTCATACACCACATTGTATGTGTGTAAAAGTGCATGTATTGACAGCAACAACTTAGCACAGGAGAGGAAACAGTAACACTAACTGAAAGTGCTGCCATACTTAACATAGAAGCTGACAAAACATGGAATGTTCTGCACAGATGAATCTAGTAGAATACCTGAATCAACAACTGGCCAACTGCATTTAAAGAAAACAAAAAACAGCAACAGCAGATTACAAAGCTGAGCCAAAAGAAACGAGAAGCTTCCTAGAAATGTAGTGGAGTGAAAGTCATAAGTTCCCCTTAAAAAAACCACAAATACTCAAGTAAAGGTACTCTGAAAATATACTTAAGTACAGTACTCAAGTAAATGTGCTCTGTTAGTGTCCACCACTGATTATGAGTCAGGAAACTGTGATTGACCTGTTATCTTTGGGCTTACAGACACGATACTACAGTTTGAAGGTACCACGCAGGAATGTTCAGTAAAAAAATAAAACTCTTTCAGCTGCATCATTTATCTTCCCTACAACTGTCGCTCTCTGTGAAAGTGGATTAGAGAATGTAAACATGACAACTTTAAGCGTATAATGAATGCACTGCACTGATACAGACAATGCAGAGTCAATTTATCAAACATTTCACTGGTGCGATGACGGTCGGAGAGCTGGATCTGAACAATAAATCAAAGCCTGGCAGAGAGGAATGCATCAGCCACGGCTCACCAAGGGGCTGCGGGAGTAGGCGCCGGCTGCCGCGCTGATCTGCGGGGAGAGAGTGAGCGCCCCTCCGAATCCTCCCGGGCTGGCCAGCTCCCCGTTCAGTCCTGCGTGGGACACCACGCCAAAATGAGCCGGGTATGAACCGGGGGGCACAGACATGGGACTGCGGAGAGCTGGGGAGGACAGGGAAAGAGGAAGGAGTGGTTGAAGGATGGGGAGGAAGACGGGCAGCGATGCTCCAAACACGAATGAAAAACCTCCTTCATGGTTAAAGTTTCAGACAGTCAAATACAATCGTTTCCACTGTGGGTCATGAGAGGATTTAATATTAAAACTTGCTAAAGAGCAAACATGTAAATGAAATATAAAAACTGAAGGATCGGAGGTGGTGTGAGGTGGACAGGAGGTCAGGAAACGTTCATTCAAAGAGCCTTGTTTTCAAGCTCAATCAACTTTTTCCAGATGTGTTCTATTAAAATGGCTAAAACTAAAAATGTTTATAAACTGTCTACATTAATAGCGGAGTTGTGTGACTCCATTAAAACTAAGCTTCATAGACACACAAGCAGTAGTGTAAATGGATGTAGCAGTTTGGAAGACTTATAAACACATTATTTTCCAGTAGTTATACCATCAAAGACACTTAATTTTTAAACATCAGCAGTTTTGTGAGTCTCACCAAGAGGGTCTGCACTGGATGCTGCTTTGCTAACTAGGCGAAGGCAGGAGGTGCTGGGGCCTGGAGCTCCAGGAGCTCCTGGTGCTCCGGGGGTAAGAGCCTCACGGTGGGACGGGGACGGGGTGCCAGATTTGGACAACGGAGACTGGGACTTATCCATCTGTGGAGGAGCCAAACAGAAATAATCATAATTTTTAAATGTGTCTTGATTTGGTCTCGATGGTGGACGAACTGCTTTTGCAACATCAGTTTAATAAGACATTTAATCATTTCTGTAAAATAGTTTGAGCTCTTTTTCTTCCTTACAGCAACTCACAATATGTTAATAATTAGCAACCAAAGAGTACAACGTGAAAAACATGACACATTACTATAATGAAGCAATATTTTCATTATAAACATAAAAGTGTGCAGTGCTGTATTTTCCGAACTATAAGTCACTCCGGAGAATAGGTCGCATCAGTCAAAAAATGTCTCATGAAGAGGAAAAAACAATATATAAGTCGCTTTGGAGTCACAGGACTGGCCAAACTATGAAAAAAAGTGTGACTTATAGTCCGGAAAATACGGTAATAAACTGCTTTAGCAGACTTAAAAGTTGCCTTTCCATCCAGAAGAAGGGCAGGAACTCTTTCGGTCGTTGTCTCAGGTTCGTACCTGTGCAGGGTCCTTGGTCTTCCCTGGGGTGGGGCTGCAAGGGTTTGGTGTGGAAGGGGTCTCTCCGGCACTCGAGGAGCCAGGGAGCTCCTTTCTCAGGGCAGGTGCTCGGTCCAGCCCGTTCCCATGAGGAGAATGAGGCAGGCTGCCCGCAGGAGAGTTAGGCTCCTGAGCAACAAAGAAAAAATAAGATTTAATGTGTCAAGCTTTTATAAATGTAGTCCCTCCAGTCTCAAGTGACACGAAGAGTTTATTGTCTGCCTGTCTTTGTTCTTAAAGTTTCCACGTTCTTTAAACAAGATATATTGTTTAAAAATCACTTTCTACTTTGATTTACTATGCATATGTTTGTGACACTTTGATTAAAGAGTTTTGTTTCTTCTTCATTTTATCGTCCCTTTTCTGGTTCATTATAATGTTAAATATTCTCCTGTAGTTCAGCAGGTTTTTAGTTTCTCAGTAATCTTATGTTGGGGTTACAGCTGGTTTAAGAGCTTAATGACAAATCCTCCAAGTAAGTGACAAAATGGAGCCCAATGTAGTGTTAGAAGTTTAATCTTGCTGGAGGCCCGGTCTGGTCTAGTCTGACTCATAACCTGGTTCAGAACAGATCCAGTCTCAGCAGCTCACAATGAGCGATCCCAGGGTCAACACCCGATAAGGAGTCATTTTTGTTTGCTTGCTTCCAACACTTAGATTTGCACATCACCCTATTATCCACCATCAGAGACAGATAAGACCAGTTTGCTCACACATCCACTGATACACTCTGACAGGCTGTGCCCGCCCCGGATGTGAAGGCGGAGCCAAGAGCCAACATAAGCTGGGGCGTTCTTTTGCACGAGGCCTCTGGTTCCTGGTTATGACAGGTCGGACGGATGCCTCAGCGCTGAGCTTGTAACTTTTCCTGCCTTACTGACATTAAATGGTAAATAGAATTTACCTCTCCTGATTTTATTGAGTTCGTGTGAGTTTTCTCTCCACCTGAGAACAAAAGAACCGGAAGGGTGCCATGGCTGACAGTAGTGAAAACATCACAATGCATCATGATAATCGCCATTATGACTTTGTACATAACTATTGATTATAATTCTGCATGGGCAAACTGAAAAAAATCAGATCATCTTTAAATAATTTAAAAGCCAAAAAAAACAACCTCCAGCTCTAAGAGTTTGTAACAGTATGAGAACCATACTGTGCTAAATCTGTCTAAAGAGGTTAAAACTCCCTAAATCCTTGCTGCTGCCTGCAGAAAAAAATGTGTAGTTAAACAACAAATACTGTAAATCCTTTCCACTGTAACTTCATTTGTATAAATTATAAATGTACAATTTAGGCTTTTTATGAAATATATATATAACAGGACATTCATCCATCCTCTTCAGCTCGAGGCATATTAACTTACTGTATGTGCTTTTTTCTGTCTGTAAATATGATAAGATGGTACCAATCAGAGATAGTACCAAGTTTAACCAACAAAATCAAATAAAAACTTAAATTAGAGTTTGGAGTACTAAAGTTTTAAATTTTAATACTGAAGCTCTCGACCTTGACCTCCCTAAGGGATTTTAAACAACTGTTAAGTTTAATGCAAAAATTAATGCAGACATGTTCCTGTTTTTAGTATTTTACACCGTTTTATAATGTAGCTGCTTTTTTTATTTTATTGTATATCACTTCTTTTATATACTTTTCCTTTTATATGCTTTCACATGAATGTTTATTGTTGTGTGGACCTCAGTTATGGTTTTTGTTAAAACAGGTCTCTCTTGTAAATGAGTCCTCGTGACTCACTGAGACCAACCTGAATAAATAAAGGTTGAATGAATGAAAAGTCACTGCTGCTCTGCAGGCTGACTGGTTCAGTTGTGTTTAGTTGCAGATATTAAAGGTTTGATCTTTGCTCCTGATTCTTCTAAAACAGACCCAACTCAAACTCTTCACCGTGCGTCGTGTGTTTGTGAGACAGAGACTGTCGATGCTGCAGCAGCGTGTGGACCTGGTGATAATGTGGCTGTTACAGATGCTTTCATTACCGGAGCGCTGGAGTAAGCACATCTCTCTGGGTCGCAGCGATTAGAACAGACGTTGTCGTGCGTATGCACATACACACGCATGCACAGTAAGATCATGGTTTTCTCATCTTCGTTTGTCAAGAACAAAAGTCATAACTCATGTATTTCATGTTCAAGCAAACAAGAAGATTAAAAAAATAAATAAAAATCTACACAAACACAACTCGCTCCTTTTTGTTTTATTACCCTTATTTGTCATTTTTCTTTCCCCTCTGATTGTGCACCAGTTTTCAAATTTCACCAGAGACCCGTTTTGAATCGTGCCTGACATAAAACTATAGAAGGCTTAGATGAAACGTAGTTTTGGTGCACGGCGTGAAGTATTTAAAGAACTAAAATATTCCTGTGGCATGAATGGCTTTGCATATTTTAGATGAGCCAGACTGCAGCTATCCAACGAGAGGAGGAAGGAGTGGAGTGAGTGCTGAGGAGAAAGAGACGGTGGAGAAATGGAGGAAGAGAAGCCTTAAGAGTGCAGGGGGAGGACAAAAATACACTCTGAGGAGGTAGATGAGAGGTGATGGGTAAACTATTTGTAAATGTGTGTGTGTGTGAGCATGTTTCACAAGAGGAGAGCTCAAACAGTGGCAGCTGATAATGAGCTTACACAAGAGTTCTCCTTATTTACAAGGAAACTGCAGCGGACAGCTGAACGAGCTGCAGACCTGCTGACTCGTTGCACATTCACATACAGATATGCAGCTACAGACTGTCCCTCGATGTGAGAGAGTGTGTGAATGTTTGTCTTGTTTGTCCCTACGATGGACTTGCGACCTGTCCAGGGTGTCCCCTGCCTCTTCCACAGCAGCTGCTGGAGACAGACACCAGCTCCCCGAGACTCATAAAGATGAAAGCGGGTAAAGAAAATGGAAGGACAGCATGCAGACATGCACACAGTTAGAAGCCAGAAGAACAAAAATACTATTCATCTGTTATGTTTGGAATTCTGCTCATCTGCTACTATTTCAATAGTTTGTTCAAGTCAAACAAAATATTTATTTTAAAACTGTGGTTTGAAAACAAGTCTAGAAGTGAATGTTTCCATTTATCCACTACATTCTTCACAAGTATAAATATATACATACATTTTCATTTTTGAGTGGGAGATAATCAGAATACAATAAATAAAAATAAAGCATTTAATCTGACTTTACTCAATATTGTGCACCCCCATGTCTTTTTCAGACAGCCGTCCAAATGAGTGCATCTGTGACTCGCTCTCAAACAAAATTATAAATCTAAAACATCGTTGTAACAGAACTGAGTCACATACATGGTTACATTTGAACACACTGTACCATTAAGTACTAAGGCAAAGTTCTAGTTCCATGCTGTGTCCAGCACTGGTCCTCCCACTGTTGGTTTATTTAAGTTTAAGCTGCAGGACAGAGGCAGGCAGCTTCTGTCTGACAAAGACAGCTCATTTAGTCATTTGTAGCTTAATAAAAACACAATCTGATCTATAGCAGAGATGTTTGGTTTTTGGATGTAGCAGTGATGGGATGCCGGGATGTAAAATGTTTGAATACTTCCATAGTGAATGTGAACATGATCAAATATTTCTCTAGACGGGGTCAAACATTTTGAGGTAGTCAGGGAAAATGAAACTTTCTTCCTCTGGGAAGTTTAACTTTTGTAATTGCAGGTATCTATAAGTGAACTTAAGAACTGGCTGAAACAATTTACATTAAAATAACAGTTCGTTGTCAGACTGCAGGTTTACTTGTGGTTCCTAGAGTTTCCAAAAGCAGAATGGGATGAAGATCTTTTAGTTATCAGGCTCCTCTCTTGTGGAACCAACTTCCAGTTTCTGTCCATAAGGCTGACACCTTGTCTACTTTTAAAACTAGGCTTCTTTCATTTTTGATAAATCATACCATACCATACCAATTTATTTATAAAGCACTTTAAACAGTGACAAAGCACACCAAAGTGCTGTACAGGGACAAACAGAACAAGCACACAGCAACAGATTACATAACAGGACACCAAAAAGTAGAAACCAACAAAAACAGTAATGGATAACAACAACAACCGCAACATGACCAACACAGTGTGATGCACACAGACTCAGCACAGATCACACAGTGCTGAAAGCCAGGGAATAAAAGTGTGTTTTTAAGCAAGATTTAAAAACTGTGAGGGAGGGGGCCTGTCTAACGAGCAGAGGTAACTCATTCCAAAGTCTTGGGCCTGCTACAGAGAAGGCCCTGTCACCTCTGCGCTTGAGACGAGTTCCTGGGACTGTGAGGAGCAACTGGTCTGCTGATCTAAGAGAACGTGGTGGGACATACGGCTGGAGCAGATCAGTAAGATAGGAGGGGGCAGAGCTGTTTAGTGATTTATAGACATACAAGAGTATTTTGAATTTGATTCGAAGGTGAACCGGAAGCCAGTGTAGGGAGGCCAAAACAGGTGTAATGTGCTCTCTTTTGCTTGTGCTGGTCAAAAACCGGGCTGCTGCATTTTGGACCAGTTGAAGTCTAGCTATGGAGGTCTGACTGATACCAAAAAGGAGTGAGTTGCAATAGTCGAACCTGGATGTAATGAATGCATGAATTACTGTCTCCAGGTTATTTTTGGACATTTTTGGAAATCCTATAGTTAGGGTCAGCTTGGGTTTCCTAAGCTATCCCTTTGTTATGCTGCTATAGGCTTAGACTGCTGGAGGACAAACTGACCACAGTTCCTCACTCTGCTGCTGTCTTTAAGTGCTCTACACTACCTGTTTGTATTTGTAACCATTTCTATCTTAACGTTTTTTTGTCTCTCCTCTATAGAAAGTACACCTGGACCTGTCATTCTGGGTTTATCTCTCCTTCCTGTTCTCTCAAACATCAGCTGGTCGAAGCAGATGCCTGCTCATCCTGAGCCTGGTTCTGCTGGAGGTTTCTAGCTGCATGTTTGCAGTCTGGATCTCACAAACGCTTTGCTTCACATCTGCAAAATTCACTGAGTTAGAGCCATTTTTGTGCAGGCTAAGTTTGAATTATCTCGACTCCAAAAGTTATCAGCTGTAGATGTACAGCCAAGGATTATTTACTGAAAGTTAAATGTGTTCAACAGTTCAAGAGATATTCTGCTAAAAGTTCAGACACACACACACAGGCATGGACAAAACGAACGTATCGCTTTGTCTGTGGGAAAAAAACCCATTTCTAAAGAAATATTTTCACTGAATGCAGCTCATGTTTACCTGGTAGGCCAGTTCTCCAAGCTTTTTCTTACTTATACAATAAAAAATAATTTTATTTATTCATATTTGACTTTCTGAGTCACGTCTGCAGGAATTTTAAAATATTGGTGAATACAAATCAGTGATTTTTGAATTGTGAAAGTAAATATAAATGCCTATTCATGTTAATTAATATTGAGTATTAGTTTAATTATAAACAAAGACAATTTATAATTCATATAATTTCCAGCAACAATCGTGGTACTGATGATGTGTCACCATAATGTAGGTTGTGTTGGATTTTATGTCACGTCAGTGGAGGCAGAATTGAGGAGGAAACACTGATACTTTCATCAAACTGTCCATATGTCATAATTATAATAATTAACAGACTCTGTGGCTGGATGAGCTCATACTTTGCATTCATATGTTTGAAATAAAATTAACCCAAGGGTGTGGGACTATGGACTCTTGTGTGAGATATTTTTGCAGCTATGTCTAATTTCGTCTGTAATTTAAAGCTTTAAACAAAACCAATTAACTGATATTATTAACTTGATTGATTAGACACCTAGCTGTAACGACTCACTGGCAGAGGAGAATCCCTCTGTGTTCACTGTTGATGCTTTTTCTGCAGAGCCTAAAAGAAAATTGCAACTATTACGCTTCTAAATACTATTTCACATTTACTGAAAAAAAAATTCTTGGCAAAAATATGAACTTAGTGCAGTTATTCACTAAAAACTGAAACCCCGAGTGATGTCGCTGAAGAGAAAACAAAATGATCTGCAAGTTGTTGAAACTCCTCACAGAACTGATGGAAAGACATTTGTGGAGTGATCCTTCCGAGTCGAGCCATGTGGAGTCTGAGAATATCAGAAATAAAAGCTGAGGACTCACCTCATTAGAGACGTCCACTACGAGATTGTCTTCGCTCTTGTCTCCATCACTGTCCTGAGGAGACAAAGAGGACGGGACAAATAAAACACAAACTTTCAGAGATATTTTCCCCGCTCCAACAGTCACAGTATTATGAAGGTGTAAATAAAGAGCTTTAATAATAAAGACACACACAGCAGCTGAAGTGCACACACAAAGATCAATATATCAATAGCACTGGCTGCTTGTTGCATCCTCTCACTGTCTGTCCTCCATGCAACATTTAACACACACACTGTGTTGACCATATATTATCACACACACACACACACACACCAATACAAACGTTACCTTTCTTCTCTCACATACACTCATCCCTCCATCCATGGCACATTCTTGCTCTTCACCCAGCCATGTCTCCATTTTTTTTTCTCTCCATTTTTTTTCTGGGGTGAAACGATGGCACTTAGTCGCCATGGCAACAACGCTTTGATGTGATCTGATATTTCTATTGACATCAGTGTGGAGTGACATCAGTACCTAATTATGCAGAGCCAAAACAGGACAAAGCCTTCAGCCTATCCCTGGAAGAAAAATACAAACGAGTGGGACAGACACTCGGGCGGACAGAAGAAGATGTGGAGGACGATTAAAAATAATTACAGATGAACTAAAACAAAATAGTGTGAAGACACGAAGGATAAGAGAAAAGCAGACAGAAAAAGAGAAGGAGTTATAAAGAGACAGAGAGAGATACTGAAGAGCAAGGAAGGCGAAAGGAGAGAAACGAGAGGTGAAATAACACTCGACAGAGAGAAAGAGAGGAGAGTGGTGCTCCTGCTCTGGACTAATGGGGAGGATTTGAGCTGTTTTTGTCGATGCCAAACTGATTTAGCCGGAGGCCATCTTCCAAGACAAACTCCTTGTGTCAATCAATCCTGCAGACTGCAAACACACAAGCATCTAATTCATTACAGCTATCTGCCTCGGCCATCTCTCCTCTGACATTACATCCCCTCGGGCTGCTTGCTCTTCCCCAGCAGACCCAAACAAACCAAACACCGCTCTAAAAGGTGACAGGCGCCCAATCCACCTGTGGCCTTTAGCGTCATGGGCAAACTCTTATGCACAAAACCATGCACAGGTGCAATAAAATGACTTTATGGTGTCGGAAGAGGCTTTAAAAAAAGCTAACTATGAAGTCTATATATATTCTAAATTTAGACGTGATTTTTTGACACTCAAGAAGCAAAAAGGAATATGTATATGGATGAGTCAATGTGGCTTGGGATGTGTAGCTATCGGAGTCATCCATAAAAAATACTAATTGCAAATTTACGATTATAAAGATGCACATATAAAGAATGCATACATAGGAGTGTGATGGGAGGGATTCTTTGTCATCGCAGCGCCTCCTCTTGGCCTCAGCTCCTCCCTGCATGGAAGAGTATCCTCCTGATGGGCCTTGGCGCTCCTCGGTCGGTTGGCTGTCTGTTGACGACACGGACTTACTCTGAAAAACCAAACAAGGACACAACAAAAGCATGACCGTCATCGTCAAACATCACAGCAGGAGCAGGCAATGGAAGATGGAGTGATGCCATAAAGATTCCCATTAGAGACCATCAATCCTCTTTTTCCAGGTAAAAACATACAGGACACCCACCCAGCTCTGATGTACGGGTAATGGTGTGAAAAAAAAATACTTGGGAGGGACACAGTAAGAAAAGCAAACGCAAGCACATGTTCATTTGTAGCTAAAGTAGCAGCACAGCCTATAAAGCTAATTAGTGTTCTGCCCTCGACACGCCGGTCTTTGTGTAAAATATGACCCTCATTATTGGGTAATAAAGCTGTGCAGGCATATTTACAATGCAGCCCTATACTAGTGCATACAGCTAAAGAAATTAAACCAGAGCATTGTGTTGTTCTAATGTTGGAGTAAAGACGAGAGGTTTACCGAGTCACACAGGAAGAACCACAACAGAGAAAAGAAACTGCACAAAGGAGTTCAGTGCAGTTCAAACATCCCTCTTCTCTGCTTTGAGCTGTTCCCCTTTTCTTTCTGCCTCTTTTTTTTTTTTATCCAAACATGTTTAATCAGAGTGGAGCTTTCTGGTAAACGCCAATCTTTCCTCTGCTTCCTGCCCATTTTTCACCAACACTTGTACTGCCTGTTCAGCACTAACTCCAACTCATGAGAGAAATAATGTTTCTTTCCCAGTTATTGACAAATGTAGTGTTTAGCAACCAAATCATGCTGTTTGTCTGTAGAGAACGAGAGAAAATAAAGACAGAAAGACTTATTTATTTTTATTTCACAATAGAGTAGTCCCTCGATTAGTGCAGGGGTTATATGCTCCAGATATCACCACAATAGGTGAAAAACCACAAAGTAGGAACGCTATACTTATTTTAGTATATTTATTTATTTTAGTATATATATATATATATATATATATATATATATATATATATATATATATATATATATATATATATATAGACCCTTTCCAAAAAATTAGAATATCATGGAAAAGTTGTTTAACTTCCATAATTCCATTCAAAAAGTTCATCTTTAATAGATGATAGATTCAGGGCCCACAATTTAAATGATTTCAAGTATTTATTTGTTTATTTTTACATAAATTGGGCTTCCAGCTCATGAAACCCATGAAAACAGAAATTCAAAAAAATTAGAATACTGCGGAGAAATCAGTCCAAATGTTGCAGGACATGAATGTTTTAAACTGAGTGTGACACTAATCATCTACTAAACTCAAAGCACTGCACAGATTTCCCTAGGTGTCATTAAATTGCTTCAGTTTGGTTCAATTGTCTCAGTTCGGTTCAATATGGGGAGGACTGCAGACATAACAACTGGCCAGAAGTCCATCATTGATACCCTCCATAGGATGGGTAAGCCACAAAAGTTCATAGCTAAGGAGGCTGGCTGTTCACAGAGTGCTGTGTCCAAGCACATCAATGGAAAGTCTAGTGGAAGGGAAAAATGTGGCAGGAGAAGATGCACCAGCAAAAGAGATGACTGTGGGCTTCAGTGGATTATCAAACAGAGAAGATTCCGACGCATTTGGGAGATGGGCTACAACTGTCGGGTTCCTTGGGTCAAGCCACTTTTGAACCTGAGCCAACATAGGAAGCGTCTCAACTGGGTCAAGGAGAAGAAGGACTGGACCGTTGGCCAGTGGTCCAAGGTCATCTTTTTTGATGAAAGTAAAGTGTGCCTTTCATTCAGAGGGTTCAAGGTCCAAGGGTTTGGAGGAAGAATGATGAGGAACAGAACCATACTGCTTGAGGTCCAGTGTGAAATTTCCACAGTCAGTCATGATTTGGGGTGCAATGTACGGTGAAGGTGTTGATAACCTCTTTCTTAAATCCAAGGTCACCGCAACAGTCTACCAGAATGTTTTAAGGACTTCATGATTCCTTCTTCTGAGGATCTGTATGGAGATGCAGATTTCATCTTCCAGCTGGACCTGGCCCCTGCCCATGCCGCCAGAAGCACCAAAACCTGGTTTGATGCCCATGCCACAGTGCTTGACTGGCCAGCCAACTCGCTGGACCTAAACCCCATTGAGAATCTATGAGGTATTCTCAAGAGGAAAAAGAGAGCCACCAGACCCAACAACAAAGAAGAGCTGACAGCAAGCATCAAGGAAATCTGGCCTTCCATAACTCCCAGTCAATGCCACAGACTGATTGCCTCAACCGAGGCAGTGATTAAGGCAAAGGGATTCCTAATCAAGTATTGAAGATTAACATATAGTTTTGAAAATACCATATTTTGATTGATTTGTTGTACTCCTAATTTCTTCTTGTTTTGTGCAAATACTGAGGAGTAGTGTGGGCTGATTTATCCACAGCATTCAAATTTTTTGAGTTCCTGTTTTTGTGGGTTTCATGAGCTAGAAGCCCATAAATCAACTTTTCCATGATATTCTAATTTTTTGGAAATGGTCTGTATATATATATATATATATATATATATATATATATATATATATAT